ACACCACTTTGCCCGAATTTTCGACTGGCAGAAAAATTGTTTCCATTTTGACGTTTTGTCGAATATTACATTTTCGAAGAGAGAAAGATAAACGACGGAGGAGTGTTGCATTTTCGCGGCTACGCTCGATAACACTCTGCGATTGTCGCGCGCGGGATAATTCATTTCTGCGTTCGGAATTGGCATTCATTTGACAAAGCTCGTCCTTTGTCGCTAACGCACGTCGGCTGGATATTTCTGGTTTCTATATCAATCGATTAGTCGCTATTCACTATAAATAACTCGTTCATTGAAGAATATTGGCCTCCATCCAGGCTTATAATTGCAGCTATGATTTACTTTAAATACGGATTTAAAAATAAATTTTATTATTTATGTTAATCGTATGTACTTGTGCGAGGCTTAGCAGATGCGGTTATGAATGCTTTAACCTGTTAACGGGGTAATGTTTTCTTGGCCAAGAATGGCTCTGTGCGCACAGTTAAAAAGTAATCAAAGATGAATTAACTCGTCTTGCCAGCAGAAAACGCGAATACGACTTTAATTATTGGCATTTATTTGATTTTTCAACGATGTATGAATATAATTTTTTAAATTTGCGACGAATTAACTCATCTTCTTTAATTAATAGGTTTAATTTTTTATGTGATACATAAAATTTGTAGCGTTTTACTTTTTTGTATAATTAAATTTTCCCTTTTTTAAATTTAAAATAATTAAGTAACTTATTGAAATTAGGTAAAATATTGATTAACTAAAAATAAAAATTGAAAACAATACGTCTGGTTTTTCTGTTTTTGCTTCATTGAAAATTACTTACTTTGCTCGCATTGTTTTCAAATAATCGCATTGAAAACTCCAGAGAAATTATTCTATTCTATAATAACTTAAAGCTCTTATTTTCCTTACTGTAACAGTATGAATTTATCCACGCGGAAAGTTTCATATTTGCTTTTTTCCGCTTGCCAAGTGAACAAATAATATTTACCATTATTTTTTTTTTGTTTTCGAAAATCTCTCGATAAAAATGTCAAATGAAACAGGTTTCCTTTCCCACAGTGGAATGTATAAATGTATCAATATTTGCCAGTGTCGACAATCATCTCCAGCTTGCATTATTCACACTTTGGCGCGATTTTGACCGACCAGTCGCGACGGCGGCTCCGTCAGGCCGCGATCTCGGCAGTCGCGTCCGTGCGCTCGACGACGGCGCGTCGCGCGAATCGAGCCACCGCGAGGGTGTTTATCTTCGTCTACGGGTGGAGGGTAGAGTCATCAGACCATTTTCGCGGTCGTGAAATGCGCAAGAAGCAAGGACGACACCTGCTCCCCGGATCGGACGGAACGAACGCTGCTCTTGGTACTTACGAGTGTCGAGTTTAGAAAGTTCGTGACGGCGTGGTCCTTTTGACGCTTCATCTCCCGTTTTCCCCTCACTCTTCCCACCGTTAATTTTTTTCCGCGCTCGCGAAACGAGGCATTGTGAAGGAGGAAGCCTCCTTCCGCTCGTCATGGCTATGTGATAGGCGGCGATAGCGATCTGCGGCGCAACGCGATGTGATTCGATTAGGGGAAGCATCGCGGCATCGAGCGCGGCGTGATGCGGCGAGAGAAGGGCAAAATATAGAGAGAGGATTTGCACGCGAGAACCGTGGCGGATGCTGCGCCTGCGGGCGCAATGATCTCGCGAGGCGACGTCTCTCCACGACTGTTCCTTTCCGATCCCCGCGAAATGCGGACACGCTGCGGATCAGCTCGATACGCGTGTTTCTTTCAATATCGGCGGTTTCACGAGGACGTGGAGAATATTGGCGAATCTTCGGATGATAAAAGTAATCCGCGCGTGCTTGTTTCTCAATTAGCTACTTGTATTCTTAGGCAAAAGGAAATAGAAAAAATGGAAACTGTATGTTGCAGAACTACGGGAACAATTTTAGCACGTAATTATTTTTTTAGGAATAAGAAGCATGAAAAAAAATGTTGTAACTTACAATTTTTAAGTAGGTAGAAAATTCGCGAGTATTTTCGTGTCGGGAAATTTTTGAACGACGCGTTGCGTAACGAATTGCAAGAGAAAAAGGAACAATTTCGAGCTATTTTCAGCTAAATTACAGTTGACTCATCGAACCGTGATGATCGTTTTAGAACAGAATGAAAATTATTATTCTCAGGTAATTTTATTTCTCTGGCTGAATGCTTCTCATCAGAATAAAACCAGATTAGATCACTATTATTCGCGACGAATAAAGTCGTTACGTAAAAAAGGAAAAATATCAGACAAGAATGATGGAAGCGTAATAATAAATCATTGTTACGTAAATGAAAAATGGTTGAGGGGGCGGGAGGGTGATAGGGAATTATAGGAGCAACGGAAACCGAAGGCCGAATGCGGGGAAAGGATGCGAATTATATACAAGCGATGTAAATTGAAGGCTGTGTGTGTATATTTTCCGTCTGAAGCTCTTCGTGAATTTTCGAGAAAACACTCGGATACGTGCGCGCGTCTGGGGAACGAGGGAAGAGAATAGTCCCTTATTTACTAGCCTGGTCCTTCGGGATTCTCAGCCAGAGGCTGACTGTGACGAATTCTTTCTGTCCGCATCCGGAGACGTTGAATTCAATCCTCGGCAGGTACCGTGGGATCTTTTAGGCCCTACAAAAAGCGCCGGTATTCCCGAGGTGAATCGATCTGGCAGCATATTTCAGTCACCTTGCGTAAAGACGCATTAAAAATAACTTTTTCAGTCACCTTGCGTAAAGATGTATTAATCATATATATATATACATCAATTTTATATAATATTACTAAGTATAAAACGGTAAATTTCGGAGGAAAGACATCAGTCCATCAAAATTTTCCCGCTCGACAACTGACAGCGAGCACTTACTTTCCTTTCGCTACCCCATTAATCTGGCTTGAATTGAGCGCGGTTGAATTTTTGGACGCGAACCGACGTGACCTCGTCCGGGTCACGATCAAGGACGCACATGTCACGGCTTCGTGCAGTTGGACGGAATCGTCGGAACTACTTGGCTCGATTTCGTTCGCTGCACGATGTACCGACGATGCATCGAATTTATGCTCGGGTGGCTAACCGGGTTGATAGCTCGCCAGTGCGCACCGTTGTCGTAATACCGCTTGTTATTCCTGCTATCAGTGCTGCAATTATAGGATTGCACTGCTGATACGATAATAATAACGTTATTTTCTTTTAATAATTAGAAATTATTCGGAGGAAGCAGCTAGCTACCACACATGTTATATTATTCTAATTTACTTTTAGAGTTTTATAAATATTATTATAAAACTTGAGAGAAAGGTCTATCGAAAAACTAGAAGTAATATGCTAGAATAAGCATTACTTTTCCTCGTGTTAAAATAATATTTTAATCAAGGGAGTTGGTCGAAATTCTGCAATAACTCTGAACTATCTATTATTCTCAGATAACTTCAGATATCTTTATTTCATTTTCCGATAAGGGATATTGCAAGTCCGCTCGAAATCGTGAATATTATCACTTAAATGAATCTGACTCGACGATGATTGCGTTGGTTTACGAAACACAGGCTTGCCGCTATTGTGACGTCTATTTTAATCGGATGGCTAGCCGAGTGTAAACCTCGCTCGAGAGTGAAGTGCAATTAATTGAGCCGACGTTGGTTGGCCTAGAAATTGTAATTCAAAAATCTTTAGCGACGAGACCTTTTACACAGATTTGCATTGTACAAAAATAACTCGGATAAAAATACGTATTGAATCCCCGCTGAAACAAAACTGATTTCAGACTGATAAAAAAAAAAAAATCATAAATAAAAACTTGTTCGTTTTGTGCATTGTGATTATGCGTGTAGCTCGCGTCGAATGAAGACTTTCGTGGTCCACTTTTGCGCGCTGCCGGAAGCCGCACATTATTGAGCAGATCGTGAAAGAGAAACGGCACGGACGCATTGTTTTCATTTCGGAAAACGTGAACCTCTCTCTGTCGCCTGTGTTACGATGGGTTTCGTCCGGCATGTAGCTCGTGTTTCACTTTTGTACTAGTGACTCGCAGCGGGAAAATGTTCGCGGAAACAGCGCGTTCGCGGAAACAACGTGGACTTTTGCTCCAATAAATCCAGCAGTCGGGAAAAACGAAGTCAAAGTCTAAATCGAGCAGCCGGCAGAATAAAGTCGCGCGAGTGAGTTTGTTACATAATTTACATTCTAATAATTATATAATTGTGTGTATTCTACGCTAATAACTTTATGTCAATAAATTCAATATTACATTAATTAGTTTATATCAACTGCGTCAACTGGCTCTCTGTAAACAGTATTTATTAATGTCAATAAGCGCGATATTATCAAACTTGTCGCTCGATAACAGCGAGTTTCGTCGAACGCGATCGTAATTACGCGTGAAATGTCGAATTAAGGCACACAACCCCGCTCACGCTCCACCGACATACTTGTCACGAGGCGGTCATCAATTCTATTTTAGCCGGCCCGAAGTCGCTAATCCCTCCCCCGCTCCCGACTATATTTTTCTTCCGCGGCGTTGCGGACGCACGTGTACGCGATAACCCAGTTTCTGAAAGACAACCGGAATGACAAACTCGCGGCGATAGTTCGAGAAATGAGAAACCTGGCGCCGCGCCAGCGGCGCATATTGCCCGAATTTTTCTGGAGGACTGGCGAGTCGCGCCGGTGAGTACGCGCCGGAGAAGAGGGATAGATGTTAGAAAGCGGGTAAGGGGAGTGCGATTTACTCCGAAACGCTGCTTCCCCCACCCTGCAGGATACGCGAGATAATAATGATTCCGCGCGATTCAGGTGCGTTGCGCTGATCGAAGTAGTAGACGTTCGAGGCTATCAGTAATTTAGTACCGCTTATACGTAGCAGCTGTAGTGTTCTCCGCTTGATTTACTGTTGTTTCCTCGACACGACCGGTCCTTCGACACGGAGTGTCGTCTCTCACGTCGGCGTAATCGAACGCGAATGCTCGAATTCTGCTCCAGATCGACGACGACGGCGGTCTTCCGCGCTCGTTCTCGTAAACGAGACCGATTGTCTTCCAAGGAGTGTCTTCCGCAGTCCCCCGCCGTCTTCCCACGAGATACCTCCTCTCCGGCCGATTAGATCGAACGTCATCATCATCGTTGTGCGATTCACACGAATTCCCGGAGCTCGTAAGACGACGGACTCGGAGATGAAGAGACTAATTCAGCGCTAAACCGCTCCTAATTCCAGGGAATTATTCAACGAAACCGGAGTTATCCGTGAGAGAAGCGCACGAACATTCTCGAAAGGATTCTAGAATTATTAAAAAAAGTCGGAATCTGCGAAGAGGAGCATTAGAGATGCAAGGCATTAGAGATGCATAAAAATGAAGTAGCGATCTCCCATTCTCTTGCTACGCGACCAAAAAATACCATTGCCAGAAAAATTAGATTTCTAAAGAGCGAACGAGATGCGTGAATATTGTTGACTGCTCCTCGTTTTTTCCAGAAATGCACGGAATGAAAAACCATTATTGTTGCTGGAGAAAAATGATGATTAGCAAAAAGTAAACGCGTGCGAAAGTGCGCGAGTATTAAGGAGTTCCGTTCAAAGGAAAGAGAAAGAGAGAGAGAGAAAGAGAGAGAAAATAGAAAAATATTGTTGCTAGAAAAATAAAAATCCATAAAGAAAGTATATCTGTCCTCTTGAAACGTACAAATATCAAGAGATCATCTATCGTGCTCGACCTCACTTCGTTATCTGAACGACGCGGGCAGGAATTTTCTCAGGAAACGCTTCGCTCGGGACGCCTCCTCTCGAACATTCCGTCCAACGAATCTTCCAACGAATCGTCCGACGAAGATCCGCGAACCTGTGCCTCTCACGCGGTGTTTTCTCTCAAGACGTAGACTTCGCCGCCGCCGCCGCGCGCTGCCGGGAGGGGATCATCGGGCGAGAGCGCGGTCCCGGCGTGGTGTGTGCTCCGGCCTCCGTAGTTCGATGACAAACGAACAAGATTTGGTGCCTACCCAGCGTGCGTGAGCGGATCCTCGGGCACGAGGGCGCCGCGCCGAGGAGATCGTCCTCGACCACGACGATCGCGGCGACGACGAGGGCGATGCTGCGCTCGCCGGCGCGCGGCGCCGTCACCGTCCTACGGGAGCCCTCCACCGCTTCCGCTTCCGCCGCGGCGGCGACGGCGGCGGTCGCGGTGGCGTCCTCGGCCACCACCGTCTCGGCGCCGCCGACGCCGGTGCACCACGGCGGCGCCGGTGCCGGTACCGGTGGCTCGAGCAGCGCCTCCTCCTCGCGCCTCTCCCTGCTCGACACCTGCCACAGGAAGATCAGGCTCTTCGGCGAGCTAGTCGCGTGAGTTCCCTCTCCTGTCTCTCACACTCACTCACTCACACTCTCTCTCTTTCTCTCTCTCTCTCTCTTTCTCTCGTTCTGTCTTTCTTTCCCGTCTCCGCAAGCTCGATCGTGTAGATGTGTGCGTATATGTGCGTGTCACAGTGCGAAATTGGTCCCGATGTAAAGCACATCTTCTATTCGAAATGCGGGAATGAAGTGAAAAGAATCGAGCATCCATGATCAATTGAGTGTCGAAAAGACGTTGTAGCATTATAAATATTATGTGGAAACACGATTAGATATACGTTAGACACGTAGACGACATGAATTTGTATATCTGGCTGACTGGTTGTGCGGAGATGCAGCTTCTTTCCAGGAGCATGTGCTTACTAGGGAGAGATTTAAGCGCTTTCGATCGTGTAGACGTGGCTGAATATCGCTGCTATCGTTATTGCATGTAATTGCATTTTTCACTGGCAGGAAGCTGGATGTGCGACGCCGGCTGCTGCGTATCGAACAAGCTCGGAAGAAACAGTACTCGGAATCAGTGTCATGTTTAGTTTTCCAAATAAGAAACACTTTTGTACATTATTATTCTTGTTCTGCTTAATTAATCGAGACTATTATTTTATTTCTCAATACTTTGTATTATTAGTGCAAAAATTGAAGTCTGTCATCTTAAAGTTATTTATTTACGCATTTTAGAGAGCGTTGAAAGTTTCTTTTTCTAGGTAGATAAAGCGTATTGAGGCCAATGATGAATATTTTATAAAAATAAAATTGCATAAGTAATTTTATTTTTAACTTTATTTAAACGAGTACGATAAACCTTTTGCACCAATATTACGATAATCTACTATTAACTTATCGATGGTTATTTTTAACAATCTTGTTAAAAATATGGATTTTCAATATTAAATATAGCATTAAATACACAGGATGTTTCGCTCTGGTTGAATGAAATCTTAATGACAGATTATTTGGAGCGGATTATTTTTTTTTCTCGCGAAATTTTTATTGAACCAAGTTCCAAGTCGATTTTTCAATATTTTTGTTTCGCATTAATAATAGCATTTCTGATTTTAGACATACAGACTTGTTTGATTACTTGTGCTGAAAGGATCTTATTATTTTGCAGAGGAAAGTCTCTCGGAATTTGCAAAACATCTATAATTAAAATTTCGTAGGTAGTGGAACATCCTGCGTATTATACATATGTGAAACAGCGCTTTACATTACCATGATATTACTTCCACTATGTCAATATTAGCAAAAGCGAGATAAAATTTATATGAAACTACATTTTGCGTGCGATAATAGTGTACTGCTACAATCAATTTTCATAATTGCTTCCGGTTTTTACTGAAACAACCGGCGCCGAGCCGACGTTATTTCGCGAATATTTTTTTACCAAAGGATTTCCGATCGAGTGGTGCTGGAAACGTTTTCCAGCGTTCCGTTTATGCGGCGGAAGAGTCCGATTTGTTCCCGAGAGCGTGACGTGAGAAATACAACGCTCAGCATCGCTGATAGATTAAAGACAAATTGAATAGAGTCCGGGGATGCGTCCGCACAGTGATCGTACAAATCCGATAATTCGCTAATCTGATTAATGAATTCGTGTCAGTCCATTAAAGACGAAACGCTTTGTTCAATCAGTTCCGGTCGATCAGGCGACCGCAAATTAGCGTAGCTGCGAATTGACAACCATAATGCGCCGTTTTTCGACTTTCACTTTCACGATTTTCCCGGTGATTCGTTTTCGACAATGACAAATGATATGCGCACTCGATTGCGTCGCTACAAACTACCTCTATATCACTTTTTGTAACACTTGTTTACATTATTCTTATATTTTCGTGACTTTAATCTCACGTCATTTTTTTTTCCTGCAATTCTGAACTCTACAATAAAAACTGATTCTCTCGCAAAGACACTCTTATCAAGCACAATGTTTAAGCTGTTCCAAATCAACCACGCTTTCTTTCAATTGCAGATGCTCTGATAATCTTCCGAAGTATAAAGTACGATTTCCAAAATAGCCGCAACATTTTTATTTCACATCCCCAATTAATTTCTTCAATGATATATTTATCCAATTTTTAATCTGTACAAAAACAAGCAATAAGTTTACACGTGAAATATTTATGAGAGAAATTCATAACTTGCACAAAAGTTCTGCAAAGGGGAGCCGTTCTCTCTGAACCGATCAATTTGGTTTCGGACAGCGTGCCCATTAATCTCGCACACATGAGGCTGTGTTGTGTTACATCTATATATTTGCGCCTTTTACACGCGACGCCCGTGGTTATGCTTGATTGGCTTGAGCGTTTTGATGATCGCCGCCGTCGCTCGTGTCCTGTGATTTCGCTGATCGTGCGACCGGTTCTTCATTTTGCAGAAAAGCCAGACGAAAGGAGAAGGATGCGGGAACCACGGAGGATCCGAAATTGTACCTGGAGGAGGCCGCCCTCGAGAGGCAGCTGCCGGAGTTGGACCTGAGGATGTTAGTGGACCTACCGCCCGGCCTGGACTACAACGAATGGCTGGCATCGCACACTCTCGCACTGTTCGACCATATTAATCTTGTTTACGGCACGATATCCGAGTTCTGCACCATGACGGGCTGTCCCGACATGACCGGACCGGGCTTAAGGTACTCGCTCGGCGTTCCGAGTTTCTCGCTCTCGCGAAAACCGCAAATTTCCAATCTTCGCTCCTCGGAGCACGCACTTGAAAGATACACTTTTCTTCGAGAACGCGTAAAAACATATCAAAATAGCGTGCAATATGAGATAAATAAATACGGGTATTTTTACTCTTCCACGCACAAATGCAATTTTATTCCAATGTTTATTTCAAAAGTTTTAAAGATTAAAGAAATTACGGAGAAATGATAGTAACGTAAAATAAATAAGTATTTTATTTCCAGAGTGAAATAAAAAATAGGAATTCTAAGCAATTCTCGTTGCAATCTGCACGATTATAATCGTCGCTAAGTGCATAGTCACGTTGCCGTCTACATTTCCAACTATTCATCGACCATCGAGTCTTGAAACTTGCTCCCAATTATTTACCAACTATATCAATATTGCCGTTTTGCATTTGGAATATCCAGTCGATCGATCATTTATGACAACCGGCTTATTATTCCAGAACGTATCTGTGGTTCGACGAAAAGGGGAAGAAAACGAGAGTAGCGGCGCCGCAATATATAGACTACGTTATGACATTTACGCAACGCACCGTTAGCGACGAAACTATATTCCCTACAAAATACGGTGAGTCATTTATTCTTCTCAACGTAATATTGAATTCATTAAGTCCACCGGAGTCTATATTTCAATAGATCGCTCGAGTAACGAGCGTCATGATTCCGTTTTCATTCACGGTGCTATTGTAAAGATTCTACCGTTCTCATTGTTGAACTGATTTATTGTTATATTATTATACTACATCGTGTGCTTCAATTACAATTAAGAGGACGATCGGTTAATGCGCTCTATAATATATTTCAGCGAACGAGTTCCCGAGCTCGTTTGAGTCGATAGTGCGTAAGATCCTGCGGCTACTGTACCACGTGGTGGCACACATCTACCACTGCCACTTCAGAGAGGTGGCACTCTTGGGGTTGCACGCTCACCTCAATTGTGTATTTGCCCACCTCACGCTCCTTAATCAACGCTTCAACCTTATAGACCCCAAGGAAACGGAGATACTGGGAGACCTAGAGGCCGCTCTCTTGGGTAAGCTTTTATATGCCGTCGCCGGTGCGGTATTGATCGATGCCGATTACGCAATGCCGGCAAGAGATCCCGAGACTGGATTGCGCTTTTCGCGCGACGGAATATTTCCGTCGATACGATCGATCGGATCACGTGTGCATCTTGGAGAACTTGCTTATTACTTGGTATTGAATGCGCTAAACGCGGGTCAAGTTTAGATCGAGGAAAGTAATGATCTATTTAAAAAAAAAAAAAAAAAAAAAAAAAGAGGACTGAAATTGTGTGAAGGTGATCTCTCTCTGGGTACTCTGCCGGTGTTCGGTATCGACAAGAAAATTATTCGCGATCCGATATAAGCTCGTAGAACGACGGGAAAGCTCCCTTATCGGGATAAGCAGCGAATCCAATTTATCGCGTATTAAACGTATATTTAGCTACATTATACGCCCCGGCGGAGACGTACACGCTCGATTTTATACTATCGATTCACTCCCCGGTTGCTTGCTTGCAGGTGATTCGACATCCGCGCCTTCGCAGACCTTAGCCATCCAGGAGACTCCGACCACCACAAGCACCACCAGTACCACCTAGATCGCCGCGATGCGTCATAGTGAGCGAGCAGAGGTTGCAGTTCCTGAGACTAGGTGACGAATAGGCGATTCGTTGGTTCGTTTGCGTTCTTTTTGTCTTCTTCTTTTCTTTTTATAGACCACATGCGAAAAATAGAGTTTATTGCGATACGATATCGGCCGGTGAACTGTAAGAGGAAGAGTGAGAGTATATATGTATGCGTGTGTGCACGGACGTCCGAATGAGTGAGTGAAAGAGAACGGCGATTCTGTAAAACAAGAAGAAAAAAAAAATGATACCAGTAGTACCTGTACATAGCGAAGTGTGAACAACTACATGATGTAATTAGGTTCCTCCGTTTGTTGTTTGTGAGATTGTACATAATTTATTAAATGGTAAGATATAGGAGAGAACGAGAGAGAGAGAAAGAGCGAATAAGAGAGAAAGAGTGAATGAAAATGAGAGAAAGTAAGCGAGAATGAGAGAGAGAGGGAGAGAGAGAGAGAGAGAGAGAGAGAGAGAGAGAGAGAGAGAGAGAGAGAGAGAGAGAGAGAGAGAGAGAGAGAGAGAGAGAGAGAGAGAGAGAGAGAGAGAGAGAGAGTAGAGTAGTAGTAGTAGTAGTAAGTA